TTACAAATTACACCTGTGTGACAGCGCAGGCTTTCAGCTACTAGTGTGTGAGTGTGTGTATGTATCTTGTTTCAGATAGTGAATTTCTACCTTTATTGCTGTCTCAATTCTTCATATAACAATAAGCCGTCTAAGGTTCTTAGTGTAAGAAAAGGGTGGTGGTCAAAAACAGCTGTACTTTCAGACACTGCTGAGGTAGCTCTGCTTATGCTGCTGAAGTTCTTTAGAAACTGAAAATCTGGAGGTCTATTTTAGTAGCATGCTATGAAACATGACCTAAACATAACCAGTCCTCTTGGGAGTATGATTACAGCAATAAATTTCTATGTTCCACAACAGATGGCTATGCCACACGAAGAAAGTAAAATATATCAAGCTCTGTAAAATGAGAAGAAAAAGAAATTTCTGCTCCCACATCTAATTAAGTGCCTTTTAGTTTGCTGTTGTACATGTGGTACCGTAAACATTCTATATGAGCGCCGTGACATCAGTTTTAGTCTCTTCTGTCTCAGACTGGTTGCTATAAATCAGCCCAGGCTGTAAGCAATGTTGAAGGAGCTAAATGTTCAGAATTTGTATGTCTTTTTTATTAGCTAGCCTAGAGTAAACTGGGGGCTATCGTTCAATGTCAGGTTCAATGCCCAATGACCCAACAGGTTAAAATTGTGGCAGCCACAAATCAAGGGCATAATGAAGTCTAAGAAGTGGTCTATGCTGATTTATTAGGGCATCTGTCTGACTCTAGACAATCTAGTACTGCTCTTGTATAGCATGAGCTATTCCCATGATCCTTAGCATATTACAGATTTTCTCTTTTAAATCTATAATAAAGCATTCAAGATAGTCTATCGAAACCAGAGAGGATTTTTTTATAGTATTCATTGCCATTCTAAAGTTTTTTATCTCAATGTTACTCTGTAAATAATAATAAAAAGAAAGTGCTGACTTTAACTCTGCAAAGAACATTCAGTTTTCAGGACTAGCTGAATGTCAGTTCACAATTCAATAAAGTCCTTATATATGTTCTGGTTTTCAAGGAGTTTTTCCATTTTCTTTATTCTACTATTCATTTCCATTTATTCATAATATTGTTATTCAGCTATAATGCTACTATTAACCTTCATTCTTAATCAAATGCATTTTACTGAATATTGTAATTTTACATGAAAACCCTTGTTTCTTCTGGTATAATAATTCAATTTTGAAAGAAAATGGGAACTGAATGTCCACAAATTTTTGTAGTCTAGCTTTCAATGAAGCTAAACCCATGTCAGAAATGTTATTTTAATCCAATTTTATATCCCAAAGGACAGGAATGTTCATCAGAGCTATATCAAGCAATGTGAAAATCCACCTTTTTAGAGCATACAGGCTTTTCAACTGAAAAATCATCAGAACTTAATTATTCCTCTCCCAAGATCAGATCTGAGGTGCATTGGTTTAACCTATTTGAGAAAATTAAATTATACTTGTCTGCAAACTTAATGGAGGACTTCTCATATTCATGAACCTTCTATATGCAGAAAGAAAAAATAATCAAATATTGCACACAAAAATATATGGATGGTAAATATTGCATCAGTTTCATCCCTGGTATAATTCCAGTGGCTTCACAGTAGAGTTATTTCAGATATAAATTTGGCCCCTATACCTATAAAAATGTGAGATTGTCAAGGCTGATTCCCCATTCTGGCACTTTGAGTGCAGAAGGTGGGGGCCCGCAAGGATTCTAAAAATTAATAGTGGCCACTCCAGGTTTGTATTAAATTCCCAAGGTTACAGCTTTTCTCTGACCTTGGATGGGTAGATGCTGCCACCACCCAAGTGCAAAACCCACTTTGAGAACCCAGGAAGGCACACTTGGGAATTCTTTCCTGTGGGGTACCCTCAAGCCCTTTCACCCCCCCACCTCCGGGGAAGAGCTGAGAAAGAAAAACAAAGGAAATCAGCTGTGGCCACCAGGTAATTAAACATGTGCATAAACCTCTTAGGACACAAAAATCCAATCCTGTTCTTAAAAAAGGTAAATTTTATTAAAACAAAAAGAAAGAAAATATATCAGACTATTGCTAGATTTTAAAAAGAACCACTTATAAGGATTAAGCATCAAAACAACTTTCTTGAGGTCCAGCTTAAAGGTTACAAGCAAAACAAAAGTTGGCAGCCGGTATCAAGCGGAGTGCCCCAGGGGTCAGTCCTGGGGCCGGTTTTGTTCAACATCTTTATTAATGATCTGGATGACGGGATGGATTGCACCCTCAGCAAGTTTGCAGATGACACTAAGGTGGTGGGAGAGGTAAATACGCTGGAAGGTAGGGATAGGGTCCAGAGTGACCTAGACAAATTGGAGGATTGGGCCAAAAGAAATCTGATGAGGTTCAACAAGGGCAAGTACAGAGTCCTGCACTTAGGACGAAAGAATCCCATGCACCGCTACAAGCTGGGGACCGACTGGCTAAGCAACAGTTCTGCAGAAAAAGACCTGGAGATTACAGTGGATGACAAGCTGGATATGAGTCACCTGTGTGCCCTTTTTGCCAAGAAGGCTAATGGCATATTGGGCTGCATTAGTAGGAGCATTGCCAGCAGATCGAGGGAAGTGATTATTCCCCTCTATTCGGCACTGGTGACACATCTGGAGTATTGCGTCCAGTTTTGGGCCCCCCACTACAGAAAGGATGTGGAAAAATTGGAAAGAGTCCAGTGGAGGGCAACGAAAATGATCAGGGGGCTGGGCCACATGACTTATGAGGAGAGGCTGAGGGAACTGGGCTTGTTTAGTCTGCAGAAGAGAAGAGTGAGGGGGGGTTTGATAGCTGCCTTCAACTACCTGATGGGGGGTTCCAAAGAGGATGGAGCTAGGCTGTTCTCAGTGGAGGCAGATGACAGAACAAGGAGCAATGATCTCAAGTTGCAGTGGGGGAGGTCTAGGTTGGATATGGAAACACTATTTCAGTAGGAGGGTGGTGAAGCACTGGAATGGGTTACCTAGGGAGGTGGTGGAATTTCCATCCTTAGAGGCTTTTAAGGCCCTTGACAAAGACCTGGCTGGGATGATTTAGTTGGTGTTGGTCCTGCCTTGAGCAGGAGGTTGGACTAGAAGACCTCCTGAGGTCTCTTCCAACCGTAATCTTCTATGATTCTATGAAAAGCATTTGGGGTTAGCCCAGAGGAATCCATAAGCCATAAAGAGATAAAAGAAATAAACCTAATCATGTCTTCCTAGACATTTCCTAATCTACTTACATATCTGGGGTTTCAAATGAGTAGCTTCTAGGTATGATCTGATGATTTTTCATACCTGGCCCAATCTTTTTACAGCATAGTTCTGCCCTGTTCCCTCTCTCCCTGAGAACAACACAAACAGACAAAGGGGAATTCCCCCCCCCCAATTTTTAAAAAGTTCTAGCCTTCCCATTGGCTCTTTTGGTCAGGTGCCCACTCCCTTTCTTTTACCTATGCAGGGAGACTTTTTAACCCTTTACAGGTAAAGGAAGTAGAGAACAACTACTGAGAGGGATTTTATAGCTAACTGGCTGGCTGGGTGTCCATAAAAGGGAGCTACCCCTGCCCCTTTCATTTATCACAGAGATAATGGATGCTCAAAAATTATACAGCAAATACAGCCTGCAAAGTGTTTCCCTATAGCTACTTAGTTATCACATGTCATGTGTAACAACTACAAATCTACATAAATAAAAAACTGGTGCAATTTCACAAACTAATAAAAATCTGATCAAATAAGTTATCCACTTATAGAGGGAATGAGTCATCTAAAGTTAAATAGGATTTGTTGAGACAAAAGAAAAACAATCAGAGAAAAAGCCTTTTGGGATGTTTGTGCCATTTCTTACCAGGGCAGCCCTGGGACAACCTGCAGAGCACAATTCTTCAGAAACAACAATACAGCACCAAAACCATTCATGTTGCAAGTTGTCACTTTTATGAATGACATTTCAATAACTTTAGAGAGTTGCAAAAAATTTACAGTAGTATGGCTTACATAATGGGGATGGGCCATGGTATCTGGCATCATTGGGAACACTTCAGTAAAACCATCCAAGTAAAGCTATCCAATCAAGTTGCAGGCACACGCAGGGAAAATGTATTTAGAATTGAATAGCTACTTTATTGCAGCAGAACTAGATAAACTGATAATTTATGAGTAGATTACGTTTTCTAAGGCAAACATATGCAGGGGAATTTTCAAAGTTCTCCTGCATCCAGCTTGCCTAAGCACACAGAATTCGATGGGATTTTCAAGTCCTCATGCACATTTCTCAGTTGATCAAGATGGAGCAGAAATCCCCATTAGGTATATATTAGCATATGTAAATCATCACTTTATAGATATGCAAATTGTGTCTGGACATCCAGTGGTAATCGATGTGAAAGCAGGAGATATGGAAAATACTTACTAGAGCATCAAGACTGCCTCTTTTTCATTGAAGAAACAAGTGGGTGAGGTAATATCTTTTATAGGACCAACTTCTGTTGGTGAGAGAGACAAGCTTTCATTGCAGCAGGCTCGTTAACCATTGCTAGTTTGGGTTTTAAAACTCCGAATAGCTTATGTTGCCATGTTATCACCACTTCATGGTAACTTATGTTACTCCTTTCACATTCCATTTGAAAGAGACTCCTATATTCAAGGAGACCAAACTACCTGGTAAACCCACTCCAGTGAAACTGACAATAATGCTAAGCAGGGATAAGCATAGCAAATGCTTGGAAAACAGAGTATTTCCACACACAGGGATACCTGCAGACATATTTAACAATCTGGATATGATTCCATTCCTAGAGTGACTGTGTGGTGCACTGTTGAGTTATTTCATCTGTGGTTAAAACTCATGTGAGAGTTTAATGTTTGTGGGTGGGTATTTAACAGAAGTGCAGATTTGGAAGTTCAACACCTGTCCATCTTATCTAAAGTCAGCAGCAAAAACTATGGAATATTGTATCTCTTTCCAAAACAAATATATGCATATAAATTGTACTTGCCTCCATAGGTTCCACCGTTGCTCTTCTAGCTGAGTTACTAAATGCTCTATGTATTTATTTGAGTCCATATATTCCTAAAAAGAAAAGGACCAAAATATTTGTTTTTCATATATATATATATTATAACATTTGTAAAATGTTGACTAACTAACAGAGATATTCTGTGAGGGTGAAGGAATGGAATCCTACAACACATAAAACTTCCATTGACATAAAAAAGCAACATTAATGGAGGCTTATATTCGGGCTGGAAGAACCCTTTATGAAGCCAATTGTTATATGCAGAAATTATTGGGGAAGATGCATAGGTGTCATGGTAGGCCACGGTATGTATTTGCATGCACCTGCACATTATATCCAGAATTCTCCTCCAAGTCTCTTGGTGGTAGGTTTTTGGTCAGAGTTGGGGTGGATAATGTTTTCTCTTCAGGTCTTGGGGCTTCTGGCATAAATCTGTGTCTGCTGGGCAACCATGATTTGACCCAAATGTTTATTTTGTTGCTTGCATTACAGTTCGGAAACCTCAAAAACTGAATTTGAATATCAAGCCAATTCAGCTCCAGGATCCTTTTTCAGTTCAACTTTTTCAGGTGCGATAACAGTATGATATTATCAGCCACTTGAAAGCTACAGTACTTTTCGTCAAGTGGAATTTCAGATACAGAACAAAAATCACTGATCAATTATTTTTCTGTTGCTGAAATACTGTTGTCTTTTCTTTAAACAAGTTATTTCTCTAAAGAAACACTTACTTCAGCAATAGAAAAATAACTTTCCAGGATGAAAGTAACTCTAGAGTGATATTTCTATAAAATATTTCAGAAAGATCCCACAGAATAACATATAGCATAATATGCTGTGTTACTATGGCAGTACCTTCAGTACAGCCATAGTCCTTTTAATCTGACAGACTATCAACAATATGATTCTCTGGCAACAGCTAATGAAAATTCCAACTTGGGTTTCTGGAGACAAGGGTTCTTCTTTTTATGGACTCACTGGCAAGCCCCATCCCTATCCTTGTGTACTATGGTTGCTTGTCTAGTATTATTTACTTTGTGTGCCTGTTGCCTAATAGCTAGTCTTTGTTCAGCCATTTATCTTAATAATTCAGGAATGGAAGGTGGTATTACAATGGGGACAGTACATTATCCCATTATCCGCAAGGTGACGATAAATGTCACAAGAACTCAACCATCATATTTTATGTATAAAATGTAGTTTTTATTTTCCAGGACTGAAATTGTTCTAAGCAATTGTGTAACATTATAGGGATTAGCGTTGGGTGAGAATAGACGGTTCTCAGGAATGCAGCTAAACTCTTAATAATTTTTTGTTTTAAATAACAACAAAAGAAATAAATTATGCTAGAAACTATCCAATAGTAACAACTCAATATACAATTACAGATATGTAAATATAGCAATAGTTATCCACAAACACCTATTTCTGCTTGTGAAAAACTGAGTAATATACAAACAAAAAGATAATCATGTGATTACCAAAATAAATTGTGCACACACTACCGTACATTTTTAACTGCAATTATGTCTCAGTAAAGGAGGCTTCTTCAATTGCACCTGGCAGCACTACAACATAGACAGTGACTGATGGTTAAGGCAATTGGTTAAGGCAATTGGAATAGTATTATTGGCAGGATTTCTACAATAAGGATATGATGAAATGTTCTAGCATATGTTTCTGCCCATGGTAATTATTTTGTTGTTCTAATAAAAAGCTACATTTGCTCTTCAGAGGTTACATTGGTTGATGAAACAACAAACATTCCTCTTATAGAAATTCTCTGAAGTAGGTAGTAGTAGACACCTGTTCCATGCAAATAGAAATAAATCTGAGTAATATTTTGTTGAAATTTGGCATTGTTTGTAAGGAACTGAATATTATGAAGCTTTCCACTAGTTTCCTTATCTTTCCCAAACCCCAAAATTCTACCCCCAATAGTAGATTCCAAATATAAGGACAGATTCTGCAGTCTTTACTTAACCAAACTTCCCTTGAACCAGATTTTGTGCTTTGTTACAATAATATAAAACTGGAGAAACTCCATCAACTTCAGTGGCATTAATCCGGGTTTTACATCACTGCAATGGAAATCAGAATCTGACCCATTGGCTTTATCTTGGGTCCGTACAGTGTCTGTTTTAATAGACAGAGTTACATTTTACATGAAGTACAGTCATCATGTAAATTAGATAGTGAGCTTTTCTGAAGCTAAACTGAGAAAAATCATTGTGTAGAATGTGTACGTTATGGCTTAGAAAAGCTACAATATGCAATTGCATAATGATGATTACTTGTGATACCAAGCTGTTTGAAACAAACTTCGTTGTAATGAATAGCTTTTACTATATCACATATAGCAGAAATTAGTATTAATAACCCCTTTATATCTTATTTTACTGTAATATGAATCACTCCTGGTTTATACTTGAGTGCACTTTGCCCTGCAGCCAAGAGAATCAATAGTTTTATTACACACAATTCTACTGCAATAATGTGAAAAGTTAATTTTGTAGCTATTTTTGTGAAAAATATGGTCAAGTGCACAAAGTCAATTGGGAAAAAGAAAATATATATTTATTTTGTATATTTTCTGCCTTAATGTCAAGTTCTTCCCATGGCAAACCTGAAAAACGATTCAATTTCTACTTAGAGGTCTGCAAGCCAGCAGCAGATGATTTGTCAGTATGGCGTGAAGATCAAGCACAACTCAAATATTAATTTTGTGGTTAGCAAAAACATCTCATCTGTGCTGTGACTAAAAGGTACAATAAAATGATTTGCTGTTTCAAAAGCTCAAGTACTGTACTTCCAAACTTAGGTTTGCCCACTTTTCTACCTGCACATGTGACAGCAGTTGGATTTGGTCCCTATCTAGTACTAATCCATCTAACCCAGAGGTGGGCAAACTACGTCCCGCAGGCCACATCTGGCCCACGGGACCGTCCTGCCTCGCCCCCAAGCTCCTGGCCTGGGAGGCTAGCCTCCGGCCCCTCTCCTTCTGTCCCCCCTCTCCCACAACCTGAGCTCACTAGCTCCGCTGCCGGTGCTCTGAGCTGCGTGGTGGCAGTGGCGGCAGCGTGGTCCGGCTCCAGCCGGGCGGCGCGGCTGTAGTGTCGCCAGCCACCGGTGCTCCAGGCAGTGCAGTAAGGGGGCAGGGGGGTTTGGATAGAGGGCAGGGGCGTTTGGGGTGGTGGTCAGGGGGTGGGGGTGTGGATACGGGGTGGGGCGGTTGGGGGGGAACAGGGGGTTAAATGGGGGCAGGGGTCCCGGGGGGGCAGTCAGGAAAGGGCGGGTTGGATGGGGCAGCAGGGGGGCAGTCAGGGGCAGGGGTTCCGGGGGAAATCAGGGGAGAGAGAGAAGGGGTGGTTGGATGAGGCAGGGGTCCCGGGGGGGGCCGTCAGGGAACGGGGGGGTTGGATGGGGCAGGAGTCCCGGGGGGACAGATAGGAGGTGGGAGCAGGGCCACGACCCCCTCCCCTAACCGGCCCTCCATACAATTTACGAAACCCGATACGGCCCTCGGGCCAAAAAGTTTGCCCACCCCTGATCTAACCCCTCTAAACTGCTCTGGGATAGCAGTAGGAATCAGACTTTAAAAAAGTTTCACTTGAAAGGGAATCATTTCCAAATGCCATATTTATGCAGTGTAGTTGTAGCAGTTTCGGACCCAGGACATTAGAGAGACAGGGTGGGTGAGGTAATATCTTTTATTAGACAAACTTCTGTTAGTGAGAGAGACAAGCTTTCCAGCCACAAAGAGCTCTTCTTCTTCAGGTCTGGGAAAGGTACTCCAAACATCACAGTGAAATGCAAGGTGGAACAAATTGTTTAGCATAAGTAGTCAGCACACAGGTATCAATAATGGTGTGCATAACACCTTCAAAACAAAAGATGAGGCTGGAAGCTTAAATTCATAACTCTGGTAGACACTAAAAATCATGGATTGAACAGAGACACTGGATCTATGGTTTATTACAATATATAACCCACTAACCCCTTCTTTGTTGTCCTATGACTGCAGACGTGTTAACGGGCCACTCTGCCTTGAATAGTCCCTTAGGGTACGTCTACACTTACTTCCTGGTTCGGCGGCAGGCAATCGATCTTCTGGGATCGATTTATCGCGTCTTGTCTAGACGCGATAAATCGATCCTGGAAGTGCTCGCCGTCGACGCCGGTACTCCAGCTCGGCGAGAGGAGTACGCGGCATCGACGGGGGAGCCTGCCTGCCGCGTCTGGACCCACGGTAAGTTCGGACTAAGGTACTTCGAATTCAGCTACGTTATTAACGTAGCTGAATTTGCGTACATTAGTCCGAAGTGGGGGGTTAGTGTGGACCAGGCCTTAGTATATGTGTGTTAACTACTTATGCTAAACAACTGTTCCACCTTTGCATTTAGCAGTGCAGCTTGAAGTACCTTTCTCAGAGCTGAAGAAGAGCTCTGTGTAGCTTGAAGGCTTGTCTCTTTCACAAACGGAAGTTGGTCCAATGAAAGATATTATCTCACCCACCTTGTCTCTCTAATGACATGCCCAACAACTATTTAATTGTGTTCATAATAGATCAAATTCTACAGTCAAGAAAAAGCCCATATGAACTTAAGTGGAAATTTTGCCGGAGAGAGAACTATATAACAGGACATGGTTTCAGTAATAAAAGTACAAATAGACAAGGTAAGACTATTGTGGGAAGAACAAAAGCTGATCAACCAGAAGGAGACCAATAATATTTACTGAGTCTTTGAGAAATTAATACAGTACCTGCCTATTAATAAGAGACACTTGAACAAGAGAAGCTTGAGGTATCTGATTTTTCAGATAATGAACAGCCTAATTCATGAATGCCTGATCCAAAGCCCATTGAAGTCAATGGAAAGATGCCCATTGATTTCAGTGGGTTTTGGATCAGGTGTGATGCTGGCAGGCCAGCTCAGTTGCAGGCATTAGCTAAGAACTAACAAACTTGTAACTGGAGAGCAGACCAATTCACCTCCATGTTAGTTTTGTTCAAATAGGGTGACTAGACAGCAAGTGTGAAAAATCG